CGGGGGCTGGGCCTATGACTAGTCCACAGGCAGCCTGTCCTGCCGCTCGCCCTCTGTCCTGCCCCGCTCCCTCTGTCCTGCCCCGCTCCCTACACCCAGGTGCCTCCTCCAGCTGCTACGCTACCCTGGGGAACTGAGCCAAGAGCGAGAAGGAACCAGCTCTTCGTGATGGTATGGGATCCAGTGTGCAGCCCTCCCGGCAGTTAGGTGAGGCTAACACTCTCAGAGTGAAGGAATCTGGGAGCTGGGAGGGGCCCCCCTCTGCCCTTCTCCATCTCCACCCCCTCCCCAGCCACCGCCACACTGCTGTCCATGGCCATGAGTTCTCTTCTCTTCCCTCAATCCCCACCCCCAGACCCTCCCGCCTGCCCAGCCCATAGGTTGTGTGCCTGCCCGCCATCTGCGAGTCTGCCCTTACGGCAGCGCTGTCCAAGGATCAATGGTGCCCCTTCATCAGGGTGTATTCAACCTGACATAGGACCTAAGCAAGGACCCATGGTGCCCTCTTTGTCAGGCCCTACTGATGGGGCAGAGGCACCCTGTCACCCACACTGAAGTTCCTCTTCACCCCTAAATCCACCCTCTGGCCTTCATGCCCCTCGTACTCAAGGCTGGGCATGAAGGCACCTTGGAATGACTCTTCTATCCAGCAGAGCTTCAGCGTCTGACTTTCCTGCCGCTTAGAAGACTCTGCCCTCAGCAGCTCCCCCACAGGTCCTGGCTGTATCCACACACACCCACAGGTGCCGGCTATATCCCTCCCCAGGTCCTGGCTGTATCCTCCCCCAAGATCCTGGCTGTATCTCCCCTCCAGGTCCCGGCTGTATACCCCCAGGACCTGGCTGTATCTGCCCCCAGGTCCCGGCTGTATCCCCCCACATCTAGTTCCTGGCTGCATCCCCCCCATGTTCCAGCTGTACCCTCCCCCCCAGGTCCTGGCTGTACCTCCACCCCAGGGTCCTAGCTGTATCTCCCCCACCCCCGCCAGGGTCCCAGCTGTACCCTCCCCCCCAGGTCCTGGCTCTATCCCCCCCATCTAGGTCCCGGCTGTATCCCCTCCATGTCCCAGCTGTATCCTCCCCCCAGGTCCTCTGCCTCCAGACACCCGGCCCCTCCTCACCATGGTCATGTAGGTGGCCTCTGATCTGTCACTTGGTTCTTCTTCCTTGGTCACCTCCCAGGTGTTGATTGAGGAGTAAATGTGCTTCTATAGGGGAAAATGGTAAAACATTCCTGAAAATCAGTGGTTCTACTTTTTATATATATACTAGTGGCCCAGTGTATGAAATTCGTGTATGTTGGGGGGAGGGTTCCCTCAGCCCAGCCTGCACCCTCTCCAATCGGGGACCCCTTGGAGGATGTCTGACTGCCGGTTTAGGGAGATCAGGCCAAAATTGGCAGTCGGACATCTCTCTCGAAATCTGGGACCCATGGCTCCTAATCGCTGACCTGCCTGCCTGCCTGATCCCCCCTAACTGCCTCTGCCTGCCTGCCTCATCGCCCCTAACTGCCTCTGCCTGCCAGCCTGATTGCCCCCAACTGCCCTCCCCTGCTGGCCAATTTGGTTCTGATTGGTCAGTTTCTATGCCAGTGAGCATCTCCAGGCCTATCTCCAGGCCTGATCAGAGAGGCGGGGCTGATCAGCAGCCCAGTCAGAGGCCCGGAGAGAAACAGACGCGGCTGCTGGCAAAGCCGAGAGAACAAGAGAGAGGCAACGGCTGATCAACAGCTGCCAAGTCAGAGGCCCGGAGAGAAACAGACGCGGCTGCTGGCAAAGCCGAGAGAACAAGAGAGAGGCAACGGCTGATCAACAGCTGCCATGGAGGCTGCAGATCAGACCCTGCCTCTCTCTCTGGGCCTCTCTCCGGGCCTGATCCACAGCCCCCTCAGCGGTCAGTGCTGGGTCGCTAAGCCCACAGTGACTGCAGGACTGACTTCCGGTGTTCGGTCAAGCCTTTGGTCTGTTGTTACGGAACCTGGGTTTTTATATAATAGGATTTATATTGATTTCAGACAGGAAGGGAGAGGGAGAGAGAGATAGAAACATCAATGATGAGAGAGAATCATTGATCGGCTGCCTCCTGCTCACCCACACTGGGGATCAAGCCTGCAACCGGGGCATGTGCCCTGACCGGAATTGAACCCTGACCTCTTGGTTCCTGGGTCGATACTCAACTGCTGACTCACCCCCACTGGGCTCAGTGGTTCTGTGACAGAGAAAAGGCCACCTGGTATGATTCACAAGGCGTCAGCCACCCACACGGGCAGGCGCAGAGAGTTACTGAAAGCTAGAGAATTATCATCAATAACGATAATTCCATCGCCAATGTTCCAGAAAATTAAGAAAATTAACTCATCAGCAAAGAGCACTATCTTAGGAACCAAATTCTTTGCCAAACAGTCTTTGTTTGATGGGCCTTAGGGAGCAGCCCGAATCCTGATCTCACCGAATCAGATCCACTCCATGGTTACTTCCTCCTCATTAATCCTGGCGGACCTGCCGTCCAGCCTTTCAGAGGCTTCGTGGCGGGTCGGCCTCTCAGAGCCTCTCACCTGGGAGGCTGGGACACTGGTGATGCCCATTTCCGTCTTCACTTGGGGAAGCAACATCATCCAGTGAAGGCTCTGGGCTCTGGAGCCCTGCACTGTGAGGAAACCCGACTCCCGGGCCCAGACAGACAAAACCCCCACATCCCAAAGGGGGTTTTAAAAGTTTAAAAAAGAAAGAAAAAGGAGTTCAAAGGAACAAATCCACTTCTCAGTCCCTAGCCGTAACCATTAACAGCTCTGTCACAACAAACGCGGAAGAAAAGGGCTGGTGGGTCCTCCCTCCCCCAGACACTCCCCAACACGCCCTGATTCCCCGTCCTGTGCACACAGCCTCATGCGTTAGGAAGCACCTGCGTGTCACACCGACACCTGAGCCCACGCAGGGCAGGCCTGGGTGCCCTGGTCCTGCTCAGAGAGGGCGCAGGGCTGGGCCCGCACCGGGACTCTGGCCAGAGTCCAGTGCTCTCTGCTCAAAAACCCACCCCCGGACACGCACACACACTGGGCAGCTGGCGGCCCACACCGCCCCCGCCGGGGGCTTAGTCCAGCGGTGAGAGGCCAGAGCCGGGCTCTGTGCCAGCCACTAGCCCACGTGCTGAGACACAGGATGAGTGAGACGCGGGTGCAGGCCGAGGACGACGCCGCCCTGATAGGCACAGGGCTCACCTGGCCTCACCAGCACAGCCCAGCGGCAGAGCCTCCTCTTACCTCGGGGGAAGCCTTGTCCCTGTCCTCCAGGCTCTTCACCAGGGCCGTGGACGTCCCGGAACTGCAAGGCAGGAGACGCAGGCGGTCAGCGGCCAGGACTGGCCAGTCCAGGCGCCGACGGCGCTTGGGGAAGAGGCACCAGGGCAGGGCTGTTCTCCTGGACTCCTCCCCGGCTCACCCCGAAGCCCGCGGCGCCTCCCGGTGAGCAGAGAGCGTCCTGAGACCAAGAGGCGGGGCAGCAGCTCGCCCTTCCCCACTGTCACCCCGACTTCTGTCTGTAGCCATGCAAGTGGGTGCACAGAGCCAGGCGACAGGCTACTTGCTTATCTCCCAGGACCGGGGAGGTGCCGCTGGGCCAGCAGGGGAAGCAGGTCAAAGGCCTGCTTACCCCACAAGCACCCCACTGTGCGCTCTGGCCCCTTCCCACTCCTCGGCCTTTGATATCTTGGCCATTTGCCTTCTGCATTTGCCATTGAATACACTTTTTTTCTATTTTGGCCTATTTTCTATTTTCACTCTCTCCCTCTCCCTCTCTTTCTCTCTAAAAATCAGTAAAAATATTTTTTAATCATTTATCTCAGGCATTGAACGGCACCATTATAGTTTGTGCTTAAGATTTATACTCTTTAAAAATTTTTTAAAAATATGTCTTTACTGATTTCAGAGAGGAAAGGAGAGAAGGAGAGAGAGATAGAAGCATCAATGGTGAGAGAGAGGCATTGATCGGCTTCCTCCTGCATGCCCCCTATTGGGGATCAAGCCTGAAACCATGGCATGTGCCACAATGTAAATATCTGATATGCAGGATGTATTTTCATTGTTACAGATTGAACATAATTAAAGCATAGTGATGAATCACAAAAACAATATGTAATTATATATGTGTTTTCCCATGGTCTTAGGCGACCCCTGTGAAAGGGTTTTTCAACCCCCAAAGGGGTCGCGACCCACAGGTTGAGAACCGCTGACCTAGACCACCATTTGTAAAGGAGCTGCTAATCTTTGTGAAGCACCGACTCAAAGGAGGCGGGTGTGGGAATGCGCACAGGGAGCAGGGGGCTGGTGACTATGCCAAGGGCATCTGACACCACCTCGTCCACAGAGGACGTTCCCTTTTGACACAGCCCTTCTGGGAACGGGGCACCGCTCGGCCGGTCTTCCCTCCCACCTCGGGGTAGAGGCAGCCTGGCAGCACCAGCCCCCGTCTCAGGCGAGAGCGGCCTGTACCTCTTACTCCCATGGATCCTTCTTGCAGTCAGGATGAGCACGGGAAGCAGCAGGACAGTGGCGCAGACGATGCCCACGATGATCACCAGATGGTTGCCGCCCAGGACCTCGGGACTGCGGGCCACGGTGGTCACCAGTGCTGGGGAGGGAGGAAGCAGTGGGGGCCTCAGTGCACAGGAAAGGGCTGAGGTCCCCAGTTATAGATGCAGCAGCCACAGCCAGGCAGGAAGTGGGGAGAAGGCCGACTCCGCTCCGTGTTGAAGCACTAGGACTCCTGCAGTCCCTACAGATTGAGAACCAAAGCCTGACGCCCTTGCTTACGGGGGAGGAGAAGAGACAGCACCTCACCTAGAGCTCCCTTTTGCATGAACAATTCTATCTTAAAACTTGGGTCACAAATGACGTAGACATAACAGACTCTTGGACACTACTGATCTTTCTATGGGAAAGTGATTTTGTTTTTTTTAAATATATTTTATTGATTTCAGAGAGGGAGAGATAGAAGCATCCATGACGAGAGAATCACAGATAGGCTGCCCCCTGCACGCCCCCCACTGGGGATCAAGCCCACAACCGGGGCATGTGCCCTGACTGGGAACCAAACCCTGAGCTCCTGGTTCATAGGGCGATGCTCAGACCCTGAGCCATGCTGGCCGAGGGAAAGTGTTCTTTTCAAAAGTCTCCGCGCTACAAAGCTCAGCCCATGGTCGGACGCCACGGGAGGCCTTCGGAGGCCCTTTCCTGCACTCGTTTCTGCATTCATTCCAAACACACAAATACAGGGTCTGGCTTTTGTCCTGGAGGCAATGAGAAGCCGCTGAGAGGACATCATGATGGGGCTGAGCGCTGGGACCAGTGGCTGCTGCAGGAAGAGGGAGCCCAGCCAAGCACGAAAGCAGAGACCAGTCAGAGGCCTGAGTTCAAGATGGAGATAAAGACACCAGCACGAAGGCAGCGGGGATGGACGGGAAGAAGGCAGATTCGGAGTCAGGCACAGACGATAGGACCGTCCACCAGATAGACAGGGTCCTCGGAACGGGAAGCAGCGCACACAACGGGTAGGTGGCAGCATTCATGGCGGGTGGGGGGTGAGGTGGGCTGGGAAGAGGTGGCCGCAGCTGGATGTCTTGTATTTGAAGGACTTGGGGGGCACTGGGGTGGACCGCATACAGCTCTACAGAGATGGGCAGAGATGGACAGACTGTGTCCCATACGGAATGTGTGGGGTCCAATCCCACGAGGAAAGGGGGCGGGATGTGCCGAGTGCCGTTGGATCAGAGCCGAGCGAGGAGCAGCGGCAGCCAGAATGCGGTGGGCGGAGGAAACGAGACGATGGGCAGTGAGACGAGACACGTCACACGCAGCCCTGCAGCAAGCATCTCGTCAAACCACACACCCGATGTGGTCCAGGCTGCACAGCTCTGAACACCCACCACGAGCTGTGCACTGAGTGGGTGCGCTGTGTTCATATCTCAATAAAGCTGTTTTAAGAAAAAGGATGTGCCCTGGCCGGTGTGGCTCAATGGATAGAGCATCAGCCTGCGGACCGGAGGGTCCTGGGTTCGATTCCGGTCAAGGGCGCGTACCTCAGTTGCAGGCTCCTCCCCAGCCCAGGCCCTGGTTGGGGGCTTGCAGGAGGCAACCAATCCATGTGTTTCTCTCACATCGATATTTCTCTCTTCCTCTCTCTCAAAATCCATGGAAAAATATCCTCGGGTGAGGATTAACAAAAGAAAAATTTGAAAGCTATAGGATGTGAGCTAAGCAGAGGAGCCTGGGGCAGGAGGAAGAGGTGAGCATTTATCTACTGAACCTTAGGAGCCACTGACGTGAGGGGGAAGGAGCGGGAAGGCACTGCGCCCAGGGCTGGAGGCAGGGCAGGGCCAGAGGGCAGCGGGCGACAGAGACCGCTGGGGGGATGGCTTGGGAGGTGAACGCGCTCCCACTATGGCTGGTCTTCAGTCTGCGACATTGGAATAAGATTTCGGAGGTGGAGAAGGCCGTCTGTCCTGCTTCCCACTGCAGCTGGGACCCTTTGCTACGGACAAGAAGGTGCCTCCACAGACTTGAGTCCCAGGCCATGGGCATCAGGTAAGCCCCATCCTGCCCCCAACCCCCCTCCAGCCAACCACAGCCAAGCGCTGAGGGCCCTGGTGCAATGCAGACTCCACAGCCACATCCTGGCTGCTAACTGGGTTAAGGTTTAACTCTAACCCTCACTTAGCAACCTCTCAGTCAACACAACCCAGGCTTTGTCCTCCTCCACACCAGCGTCAATGCCTGGGTTTCCCAGAACACAGCGCCTTTGATCACCTACTTTGATCACCCCCCACCTACTTCTGGTTCTGGTGCCTTCCTGTTTCTCTGTTCTTTGCTGCTCCCACCAGCTCAGGGTCCCTTCACCCTCCACCCCAGAGCACACAGTCAAAACGGTCTGAACTTCAACTCCAGTCCACCTGCGTCCCGGACCTTTAAGCTGGCAGACGGCGCTGGCCACGGGGAGGCCTGGCAGAGGGCCGGGCTCCCCGAACGTATTGGCTCCTTTTCACTGACCGACCAGCAAGGCCAGAACTAGGGTGAGGCCCCCAAGCTGCCCAGGGCACCACATTCAAAGAGGCACCAGCCTCAGGGCCGTGCAAGTACGGGGGCAGCACCGCGAGTGACGCCTCCTGACGTTTCGCACCCTGCGAGCCCCGGGCCTCCCCAGTCCTGGTCCTGCTGACCAGCCTCCCCCCGCCCCGCTCCCCGGCACACCTACACACCTCGGGGCTCTTCCGGAATCACGTGCAGCGCAAAGGTCTTCCTGAAAGTCAGGTCCCCCAGGTGGATGCTGCAGGTGTAGCTTCCGGTGTCGGACTCCCGCGCCTCTTGGAGCAGGACGGAGCCGTCGTTGTGCGCTGTGTCCCCCGCCAGGGCGACGCGGCCCCGGAAGTGGCCCCCGCTCTGGGCGTACCCCCCGGGACCGCCGTGTGTGGCGAAATAGCGCAGCATCACCTCCTCCTAGAGGCAAAGGGGCGCGAATGTGTGAGCTCCACCGGTGTTGTCAGCAAGGACTGAGCGAACACACACGCGTGTGCGGGCCCGTGTCGTCGGGAAGGACACTCCCACGTCACGACAACGGTCCTTGGGAGAGAGGGACGAGGAAGTGAGAAGGGGCTTTCGCTTTCCACTCGTCTCCAGGACCAAGAAGTACAGCGCAGCTTCACGCTGCTGCCCTGTCCCCGTGGGCTTCCCGGGGAGTGGCAGCAGGTCGAGCGCTGTGCTCCGGGCTCCCGCCCAGGCCTTCCTCTCGGTTCTGTGAGCGGCGCCTTCCTCAGAGGCTCAGGCTGCACCTCTCCGAGTCACCCTCGCTCCCTCCTCCTTGAACATCTCACCCCTCACCTCGAACTTCCACGGCACCTCACCCCACCTTCCCCGGCACCTCACCCCCAGCCCCTTCCCACCTTCTCAGGCCATTTCTCACCTGGACTCCTCACTGTCTCCCCCTTGCTCCCAAGCAGTCCAATCCCAGAAGATGAGTCGTTAGAAACGTAAGTGTCAGCATGTCCCTCCTCTGCAAACCCTCCGATGCGCCTGCACTTCTACAGGTCCTTTCCTCAGGGCCCATCGCCCACTTGCTCTCCGCCTACTTGGGTCACTGCGCTCCAGCCTCACTGACCTCCTCACTGTACCTTGAGTCGTGGCCTCAGGGCCTTCGCACGTGCTGCTCTGTACACCTGGACACTCCTCTCCCCAGACATGCACATGGCTCAGTCCCTTCCTTCCTCCAACCTCTGCTCCAATGCCACCTGCTCGGCGAGGCCTCCCTGAGGCCTGTGCAAGCAGCAGCAAGACCCTGCGGCTCCTTCTCCAGGTCTCCTCACTGATGGGCTGCAGCTGCCCCTGCATTAGCTGCCTGTGGCTCCCTGCCCCCCCGGGGGGGTCCCCGTCAGGGCGGGGCTTTCACTGCACAGCAGATGCCCAGAAGCACTCATTAAATGAGGACGTTGTTGGCATTTTTAAAGTAAGGAACATAAACATTAGCATTTTTAAAAGCTTTTAGGCGAAGAAACAGGGAGAGCTGTACAGACAAAGACGAATAAAAAGGCCTCGCCCTAACCTCTTGCCTCTGTGATTCAACTCACAGCTCAGAATGTCAACTCTCACCTGTGTGCTGTGGGACTCTCTGCTGGCTGACATGCACGTGCATGACAAGCGCCCAGCGGTGGCCTGAGACTACTCGGGCCTCCCCACAGGCCACTGGATGCCGCCCTTCCTGACCCTCAGAGCAGAGAGGAATCGAGTACATTTCAGTGACTTTTTATAGGGATGACCTCTGTCTTAATTTATAAAAGCTAAAACTTGCATGAAGTGTCCGCCTTAACTTATATTAACAGTAATATATTATATTACACAGCGGGGCCCAGGAGCACCTCACCCGCCACAGCGACACCCCTGGTTTCGTGAACAAATGTGCTATTTTACAGCCTCAGGGTTCACAGGACATGCTCCTCGCCCCGGCCCCTGGGAGCTACAGTCCCAACATCTGGAGCCCCTGACGACAGGGGGTTCTCTCCACCACATGAGTGGGGCAATGGCAGGCAGAAGAAAACTCACAAAAGTAACCTACATAAGAACACAGTTGTCAAAGATTATGTGATCTTGGGAAACCAAGATGGCGGCATAGGTTAACGTCAGAGTTTGCTGCCTCGAACAACCACTTCAAAAATACAACTAAAAGATGGAACGGACATCATCCAGAACCACAGGAAGGCTGGCTGAGTGGAAATTCTACAACTAGGAGGAAAGAGAATATCATACCCAGACTCAGAGGAGGCGCAGTGCTGAAGTGAAATACTA